TCTTTGTAGTCGTGGTAAAGTTTTTGTTATTTTTCTGTATTACAATAAGATTTGAGCTGTAGAAGGTTGAACAAATAACTTCTATGACTCACTTTAGATACAAACTAATTGCTAACATGTTGCTTTCTTTTATTTATTTATTGCAGCTCATGTTTTTAACAATATTGTACATGTAGAATACTTTTTGAGGAATAATTCTGTTCTATGGTTTGGTTTCAATATTATCAATTATCATATATATTTAGTTCAACAATATATCGCAATTAAATTTTTTTTATTTTGACAGACATACTTCATATTTTTATCCAATCACTCCCACAACTGGTTTAATATTGTGGTCTGAGTGAATTTAACATTGAACAGTGACCTCAAATAAAATCCAAACTGCTTTAGTTACCTAGTCTCAAGTGACATTATTTTTATAGCAGCAGTTGTTAAGTAGTTGATTTTATGTACAAGTCTGAGACCAGATCTAAGTTAAAAATTTATATTTGAGTATTTAAAATTCTGACACAGTATGACCTCAATCTTGTTAGTGAATCCAGCTTTCGTTTCTGCCTTGACTGACAATACAATTAATGTCAGTTTTACTTTTTTAAAGGTAAAGGTAACTTTTCTGATGGAGGGTCTGTCAAATGTTTTCTCCATGAAAATGTTATTGTTTTGTCTGGAATGTTTCATACTATGCCAATTAACCTTTCTCTCTTCACAGAGACCAAACCAGACCCAGTTTCTAGTCAAATCTGTGGAGAGGCAACCCTGCTCACAGTCAGAATGCCTGGTTCTCAATTAAATAAATGTAATTTAGAGCTGTTTAATGTCATACTGTGGAACATTCCAGGCAGAACATTGCCATATAGAAACAAGCAGGTGACGGCCCCCCCAACCAAAAAGTTACATAGTATGTGAATAATGTACACAAAAAAGAGATGCATTTACATGCAAGTGCTGTAACCTCAAAACCTCAACTGAGCTCACCTTGTAATTCTGTCATGAATTCGCTTCTGACAGAGTGTTTTGTATTGGCCTCATGCGCTGCCTCTTCTCCCCCGGGCTCTGAGCACCGGGGGTTCTCTACTGCAAGAACTTCAAGTGTCGTGTACAAATCATGACGAGGAGCTCAGAGAAAAGCTATTTCACTACAGCTTCAAATAGGTTCCATACTTTTTGGAGAATAACACTGTAGACATGTGGATATGTAGATTTGCATTATAATATAACCACTTATTTTAATCATAATGTGCGACATGTCTACACTGCTTTTTGAACAGTGAAAAATCTGCACTAATTGCGAGCAAGAAAAGCAAACTAAATCACGACAAAAAGTTTCTTGTATTTCAGGAGCTTAACAGACCATCAATTTCAGCTATACAGAAAGGCGTTGTGGGCCCTCAGAGAAAACCAAGTCAGTGATGTTTAAGAGCTTATAGGTCAGAAATCAATACAATATGTGGAAAAATTTTAAATGAAAAATTGAAAAAAATAAAGGACTCAATATTGAATTTTATTTACAGACTACATCATGTACTGTTTATGAAGAGGTACTGTCACCGTAACTCAAGACAATTTTTTAACTATAATAATTCATTTTAAAGCTGGAGTCAAACAGCACATTGAAAATAACTGGGCAAAGATAGTAATTTTTTTCTATGCACTCCTTGTATATAACAGATACACCAATCTGCCTATTCCAGTTCCAATACCAGTCAACACATTGGTTTCAAGAATCTTGCAATACCAGACGTCGATGTAATAAGACCATTTACTGGTCGTAATCGGCCCAGGAAGTTTCATAATGTTTGAACTTATATTTATACAAAGCAGTTCTCTAGTGACTTGAGAGATAAATAGCTACAGAACACATTTAGATCAGTTTTGTTTTGTTATTTTAGTTTTAAGGAAATAAATGTAGTTTTGTTTAAGTAACTGAGAACCAAATCAATGAAAGATCAAACATTATGAGACATACTGGCAAAACAATAAGCAGTCTACCTAACTGCCCAAACCCTGAATCAATATCTTGCAAATCAAATCAAATCCAGCACATTTTCCTGGATTGGAATTGATAACCGATGGCCAAGTACGTGCAGCCATTTTTATGTGCCAGTGCTAATCAGGCTTAATCATGTTATGTTTTATTAAAGTCTAGATGATTACTGTATTTGGTGTTAGTATGTGATTGCTGTTACACACTGGGCTATTAAATTGGATTACTTCTCCACTTCAACTACAACATTTCAGTGACACATGCCACGACCCTTCGATACAGAGGCTTTAATATAAACTGTTTGCATAATAATACAAGCCCTATAAACCACATTCATGTAATTTGTAATGTTGATTTTACTGTAGACAGCTCTGCTATATTTAGAGCCTGTGTGTGGTCCTTGGAGTAACACACAGTTTATGAGAACATTTATCAAAACATGACACAAATAAAACTCCCACCAGTATTGAGAGGAGGGACTGCCATATGACAGCTCCATTCTAATCACCTACTGTGCCTCTTGTATCATTTGTCTTCTCTGTCTGAAGCACTGCAGCTGTGGTGGTGCAAACCTTCTGAATCTGATCATGGTTATTTTCACTATAATAATGAGGATGGAGGAAATAAAAGATGAGAAGGAGAGTATGTCATTCAAATGTTTTCAATACCAACTATTATCAGGTGCACCATAGTAAGGGGTCCAACACCCGCTTTTCGCTATGTGGATGTTATTAATTTGTCCACAATGTTAGAAAGTATGGCAAATCTGTATCAATCACAGGCTTTCTATTTGTTCAAAAGTACCTTGAAAAACATGCATTCTTACTGTGAATAGAGTCATCACCCCACAGACCTGACCTAAAATGTGTTTCCATGAAGATAAACAAGTTGCAATACTTGGAAATATTTAAACAAAGCAATAATATCTTTATGGAGACAAGCAGGTACTGGACCTTCTACCAGAAAAGTTACACAGTGCACTTTTAACTAGCACAGTAACACCAATTCATACATCCATTTTTACCACCATACTGTTACACCCTGTGTTTGTCTGAGACGGGTCTTTTGGATGTAGCCCTTTTTCATTTATGTCCTTTGGATCTGACTATGAAATCATAGTCCAAAGCAGCCATTTTTCAAAAACCTGCCACTGGAAAAGAGAAGAGATATGTTTACTGATAGTGAACAAATCCCTTAGGACCAAAGCAAACAGCCAAAGAACAGGGTAGAACAAGCCAGCAAACATTCATTTATATGTAGTGTGTCCCTGGAGTGCCATGGTAACAGTGTCATATCTACCACAACAGCAATGTGCAATGTATTCTTACTCTGGACATGTGAAAGATAAAAAATATATATATAAATGTAAGAAACTTATAACAATAGACCAAAATATCAAGTACAACATTCATAACAAAATCATATATATTGCCAACATTATTAACATGACACTTACTTTCTCTCTCAGAATCTCAAGAAAATTTCACGTATTTCCACTTTGCCATCCAAGTGGATGGAAACCAGAATTTAAAAAGACCTTCAACTTTGTTATTCATTTTGAAGCACTTTAAAGCAGTATTTCATCGACACAGCCAAAATGTAAAAGTTCACAATTCTCGGTTTTACAGTTTCAAACTAGACATAACCTCAAATTCACCCGTTACCAAAAGCTGAGGCTCCACTCTTACATTACATCTCCAGTTGAGTACATAGTGTTTCTCAGTGAGCCTTGTGAGTGCAGGTTATTGTTACACATCCATCACAGATTTATCAGATCAGAGTGAAATCCTGCTGCTCTTGCACTGATGAGATTAGGTGCCAATAGTGCCTAAGCAGAGTCCATTCTGCGGATGTGTGGACATGACAAATACCAGATCGCATCCACATTTTCATGCAGTAAACTCGAATGGTCCTCTGTAATTAAAAGACATCTGCTACGTCTGGGTGAGTGGAAATACCTCACCCACAAATGTTAAAGACATGTTCACTAGTGCACAAAGTATTCATAAAATGCTTTTAAATAGAGCACATATAATTGTTGTCCTTGAACGGTGAATGAGTAATCTAATGCTGATGATGAGTTGTTAGTAGGAATACAATTTTTATGTAAAAATCTTGTCTTGTTCTCATGTTTCATTTCGTGGGAATTGTGTCTCATCCCACCCCTGTTGTAGTAATCTGACTTCCTTCCTCCAACTGTGACGTGTGTACAACGAGAGTTAGCGACTCAGCCCATGAGAGTAAACGTTTGCCTGACAAAGTTATATAAAGTTTACTTGTAACATAACAGTGGTTCATTAAATTGTACATAGTGTTCAGAGCAAGTGGCAAAGGTGCAATAATTTAATCTTGCATAAAGCCAGTAATTGGACTTCCTTAAGTGGAGGCAAAACACACTGAATAGCCCTCTTTAGTACATGTTGAGAGTCCAATGCTTGTTATGGACTGTGACATAACAAATATAACGACATAGAGTGGTATGTCCACATTTATCTCTGGAGAACAAGTGCTCCAAGTGGATAATTGGTGGGATAAGTATTCCACTTATTTCCAGATGAACTGCCTCTGGGGCTGTGAATGGGCCGCAGTGGAAACTGTTCTCAAGGGGGGCTATTTCTGGACTCTGACAATGTAAAAAAAATGGGAAAAAATCTCTTGCAGAGAAGTGGACAGTGAACTGGCAAAAATATTTTACACTGATAAATGATCTAATTGCGGACTTTCTGGCTGTATTACCCCTAAAAGAAAGAATAAAATTGTTGTATTTCTAATGATGTATGTTTAATTTAAGCAACAGGATTAAAATTCTTCTATTTGAGACTGAGAATAATATTGTTTTAGCCTATTCACACATTGTCTATTCACACTAAAGTCTTGTGGCTTTTCTTTTCTATACAGCCATAGCAAGTCATCAACTTCATATAAATTTTACATAGGTTTTATGCCAGATGCCCCTCCTGACTCAACCCTCCTAACTTTGCTATATGCTATAGTAACATAAGTCTAGACTTACCTCTAGCGTCAAAAAACTCCTCATCAGAGCTGTCTACAGACTCTTGTGCAATATTCTGCAGACACCAATGTGGGCCGCTGTGCTTTCGAATACCTGCAAAAGAGAATAGTAAATTCAGTGTCAATCAAAATATGAGTATTCAGTCAGTACTTTTCAGTTTTATTTGTAGATACAAAAGGATGTCCTCTCGACTAGGGACTTCTTTACTGAAGGCAAACCGCACAAGTGTTGGAAGAAAGCCAGTATTTTTATAACCTTTGAAACAAGATTATATGTCTGAAGAGGGTTTAGAGCAATTCTCATTTTTTATCCAAAATTCCCTGCCGAACAGCATTGCAAAACAACCACTGTTATTTTTTTTTTATTTAAACTATTTCCATTTTAAGATGGCACACTGATAGTTTCTTTTACAAATTATACATTACATAAAGTAATGTAAATAACAGTTATTTACAGTCATAAAAGGAAATGTGTGGACAACTCAGGCTTCTTGCAATCAGAACTATATAGTGTTTACAGTGTACAGTATATAGTGAAGTGAAGTGTTTTGTCAATTTAAATAAATTCAAAATAAATCGCCAAGCTTAGCAACTACAGACCTGATCCATGAACCTGTCATTTGAGTTTGGGGTCACTGGAGAGTTTAACCTAACTTCTCACATGAACATGCTTTTATTATTACTCCCATGTACAGCGTTACATGCCTGTTGTTGTCATGATGAAAATTTCAAACTTGATTCTGATACTCAGAAATAGACTCCATAAGATTCCACAATGATAATAAAAAAACACACATACACTTTATCTAGACAGTAGAATGATTTTCAGCATTAATAGTACTTCCTTTTATATTTCCAAGTACAATGTGGTCATCCAGGTGTATATGCTTTTATAGTTCTTATAAACCTCAAGATCATTCTAAAGCTTTCCAGAGAAGGTTCTTTTCTATTCTATTAATTTACTTTTTTAGTATCGATACCTGCTCAAATGGATATCTAATTTTGGTGCTATTTTTCAATTCTTTCTAATACTTTTCTGATACAGAGATGATGTTTTTGGGCAAAATCCTGATCATTTTGAGAGTTTTGCCAGTCCCATGCAACGGTCCCTTTTAGTTCATTATTAATTGATGCACAGGGTGTGTCTTCAGTCTACCATGAATTTCTTTACAGCACTACAGCCCCACAGAGAGAAAAAATTGCAGACAGGGAATTATGGGCAGTCCAGAAACTTCCAACACTCACACACATTTTGCCCTTAGTCTGGGGCTCTGCCTGATGGAGGATTTGAAAGCTTCCTGAGGTGGCCCGGTGCCCCTGTGGTGACCAGCCCTGTATCAGGCAATACTTTGACAAACAAAAACACTTGGCCTCAACAAACCACTTGATACTCCAAACTGCTGTCAAACTGCTCTCTCCACAAGAGGTCCTGAGTGTTCTGGTCTGGTGAGGCCACCTATAAAGCTTTTAGAAAAGGCTCAAGTCGCCCGGGAGATTGCCCCACTTACATCATTGATTTTGCCTCAGTGGTTTCCAAAAAGTGTTTTCTAAATAAAGAAAAAGAACAAAGAAAAAATGTCTTAGCCTTAATAACAGTGGTGGGTAATAGTCACAAAAATAACAATATTTTTGGAACTCATTTGATAACAATAATTATCATAGTTTTGCTATCCACCAAAAATGTGCTTAAATGTACATATAAATCTAAGGCATATTTTTCAGTTATCAGTTACATTCAAAATATTTATTGCTTTATGATCTTCAAGTGTAATAATCTCTTCTTACACTACATCCTGTTTATCAACTTTGTGCAACTTTTTGACTCATATTTACTTATGAGTCATTCTAAATTGGTTTATAAATATACACCAAACATCAGTTAATCTCTTTGCTGTGATATTCAAACACAACCCTTTTTTCTTCTTTCAAATGAACTTATCGAGAGCTACAGCAAATGCAGTCTGGCACTTCACACAAATTGGTTCAAAAAAAGGTTAGTGATATCAGAAAAGCATCCGAGACAACACGCTTATATACTTGTGATTCATCTCCTGTCTTTCATCTCTTTCTGTCTATTACCCACTTCCAGCTGCATTTACACTGAGGCCGGCAGATGCTCAAAATGCCGCTCCAACAGCACTCATTACAACAACAGCTCCAAAACAATCACAGGTTAGTGCCCCTCTATCTGTCACTGGCACATGTCCGCTGCATTATTGCACACTCAGATCGATATGGGCAGGGGTAATGCTAGGCTTGGTCAGAAGGACAAGGAAAAGTGTTGACTTTCAGACGGAAGATGGCAGATGACTACATTTGTATTTCTGGGCCTAAATAGAGAGCTGCTATAGGCTACACTTGACCCTGGAGCTATAGCAAAAGTTGTGGTGGATTCAAAATAACGTCTTTATAACACTCCCATGCTATATTGTGTGGTAAGGTCTGCTATATATTACAAAATATTCTGTATAAGGGAAATACAGATGGTCACCAGACAGTGAAGCGTCTGATGCAAGATAAGTGGAGGCTGCTGTGAAGACTAGTAACAACTGATTTTGATGTCATTGTAAGGTAATCTTAAGAAAGAAAAAATTTGATTTTTGTGTCACTCACATTCTACGCTATTTATTGATCTTTGTAATACTCACAAGAGTCAGTTTTGTATCTCTTGCATTGGAAATCTACAAAAGCCCCATCCAGCACTCAATGGATTAATGAAGTTATGTCCTTAGATTAGGAAGAAGATTAGGTATTCCAAGAAAGGTAACATAAAGACATTTTTTAGAAATTGGCAGCCATTTATTGACTTATTTAAAACAGTCTAAACCAACCACCTACCCACCCCTTCTTTATTATTATTATTATTATTATTATTATTATTATTATTATTATTATTATTATATTGAATGACGCTACACCTATTTCTTGAGTGATTTGTTTTTGTTAGTTAACTTTGTTAGTTATGTTTTATCTGCATAAAAATGAAAAAAAGTGTGTGTACATGTGTTGTTTGAATGACATATCTATATTTGTTTGTACATGAATAAAAACATATGAAACAGAAGAGTCAGTTTTGTGTAATATAGAACCTGTTCATTCTTTAAAGCTACTAATTAAATACATTTTAATTGTCCAAGTGAATTGTTGGGGCAGCTTTGAAGCAAGTTGTAATAAGCAGACTATAGAATTAGGCCATAAAACAGCCAATACTTGAAAAGCTTAAAAACAGGCTTTGATGTTTTTTGTTTTGTTTATTTTTATTTATCAATTGCAGCCGTAAGCATGCATCCATGTGGCAAAAACCCTATTTAACACTAATACGCTTTTAGTATTATATCCAAGAGCTGATGGGTCAATTGAAAGATTACAGCTGGGTTCTCAGATCACTCCCTCAAAGTTTGTCAAAGGACCACATCCAAAGACAGTTTATCTGAGAAAGCCAGAGGAAGTCCCTGGTGTGGTATAATGCCTTAAGCAGATTACCACCTTTCTGCAGTGAAACACAATTACACACACTTTCCACAGACTTATTGGGCTACATCTGTCACTTCTCCATCAGCTGCTCTGTGCCCACTAGCACAATGGGTTTTATAAGGCTTCTGTCAACCAGTATTACCTCCTAACTAGTTCAACAAAATCTTTATCTTATTACCTTCTATGCAGCATAGTACACAGGTATTTCTAGCTGCATTAGAAATAACAGGTCACCAGACAGTATTGTGCTATTTCTGATCAAATAGCACTATGAATAGTTAAAGACATCCTTTCTTTCTCCTCTTTGGTATGATTCATATGGTATTATTATATTATTGAAGGAGACACTCTTTCCATTTGAATCATTTCACCTGGAACAAACCGCATCATTGTTTATTTATTGTCTTACTCATCGCACTTCTGGGTCACTTGCTGCATTAGCTTGAGGTAACTAGACTTATTTGTTATTTAAAACTAAGCAAACAGTATGATTTTTAAATTCAAGAATCCCAAATTAGAACAGGAACTTGACTAGAGCCTCCATCTTTACTTGAAGATAGGTGATAGATGAGGATGAGACAGCATTATGAAATATCTGCCAGGCAATTTTGAGAGAGGTATAATTAAAATCATTCATCTTTCTAAAGTGGAGTGTGCAACTTCTTCTTTAGAGAACAGAGATAGAGTCTAACCTTGGATAGTGCCTGCAGCAGTGTGCAAGAAGAGATAAGTCTTGAAATGTGTACAGCTGTGGCAGTATAAAGCAGGCAATTTGAAACACAAGGGCAAAAACAAAGGAACATGGGAAACTTATTAGAAGATATTTCAGTGAAGAATAGAAATCCCATGAGTTCTAATTAAGTGTAGCAGATATAAGATGCTTTAGCAATCCAACAGTTTCTGGATATTAGATATGTGTTTGTTAACCCCTCTGTATTTCCCAGGAGGACTGTCCATGCTGAAATATTAAATGGATTGTCAGTGTGTGGTAATAATTGCTGTGAATGTCTCAGGGCAGATGGCTCCAATTGAAGATTATTGTTTTTGTGCAACCATCACGAGTCATCGAAAAACCTCTCCATCAAAAGCGGTCTTTCACTGGTGACTATGAACAATAAAGGAAAAACACCATAAAATGAAAAAGCACTAAAGTAGTCAAGCTTAGTTGGGTCTGATTTATTTAAAAAAATGACCATATAATGAGGACGATTGTGCATGCAAACTACAGTAAGCTGTGTGTCCGGCAGTACAGCAGCCACATTGATTTGAAGCTGTGCTCTAATAAGAAATGGCATTGATTGAATTGTCACTACAATTACATGACATGGTTCTTCTAAGAAACAGAATTTTCCAATCTGATTTAGTTCTCAAATATTTTTTATTTGATCATTTGTCCGTGTTATCTTGTAAAAATGAAAATAGGGATGTTGCAACAAATTTAAGATTTACAAGAGGAAACAACTCTGCCTTTTGGGTAAAAATGTGTTTAAAAAAAAGTGTTGCTTATATCCAAAGATAAAAAAATAAAGTGCACATTGTAATTTTAGAAAAGAAAAACTATCTATCTATCCATCTATCTTATCTATCTATTTAAGATGTATAGTCACACTAATTTTTATG